GTCAAATGTCCATTTGAATTCTTTGCTCTCAGTAAGTGGGAAGCAGCCTGCCTTTTCTCCCCCTCCTCTGAGGACCTGAGGGAAGAGCATGGGAGACCTGTTGACCCTTTGGGAACAGTCTAGGAATGTCCCCAAGATGAGCTCCTGCCTGCATCGACACCTCCCATTCCGCAGGACCTAGACCTAGGGCCCTTCTTCCATGTCCTTACTGCCATGGGTTAGGACACTCCTGCATGGAAGAATCCCTGTGCAGTTCATGTCTGAATTCTCTGCAGGGATTCAATGTCTAGAAGTTCAAGCACATCTTCCCAGCAGTGGTTTTTCTGCATCCAGGCCCCTCTGATCACATGGTAGGCAACTTGAAGTGGCCTCTACCCTGACAATGCTTCTGTCTTTGAGATAATTCTTTTCTTCACACCTCCAGAGACTATGGTTAAGTGTATGCTCTTACTGTCAGAAGAGACCTCATGATCACTATATGTCATGGGAGGTGCAAAGTTGTGCCTAATCCTCAAAGTAGTGGTTTGGGTGTGGACGCATGAAATAGGCCCCAGTGTAAGCTGTGTGTACACAGTGTAAGTGATGGCTTCACTTTGAGTTAAACCTAATACAAACTGTAATTGGAAAGTATAAATGGATTACCCTGGTCTTATTTAAATGTGCCACCACCCAATAACAGCAAGGTCAGTCAGTCCCCTTGGAGAAAACACATTTTGTTTCTAATGAGTTCAAGAAATCTCTGACTAGGGAGAGTTTCTAATTCATGAGATAGATTTTCAAGTGTGGCTAAGAGACTTAATCTCTATTATGTTGCCCTAAAAAGGAAAGGAAGCTACACATTTAAGTTGTGATTATGAAATAACATACAATCTGACCTCAGACTAAGAAATCCTGAGATGCAATCTGTACATCCCAAATGTTTTGCCTTACATTTTGAGACTTAGTGATTTTGGTGGCAGTGGCACACAGTGATCAACATTTCAAAACCCAGGCAGACCACCTTGGCTTTGGGCCAATGATAACCATTTGCACAGAAGCTGAATTCCCCCATTCTCCTATGTCTGTATGTGATGCAAACACTGCATAGCTCTTAACTCACCTTAATTATAGCATCAGCAGATTAAATTATGGCCCATTTCAGTGAACGGAGACTTCTCCTACTCTCAGCTTTGTGACGTGTGACGTGTGAGCCAAGAGTCACAGAAGGCTGAGATGTTAAAATGATGTGGCTCACTGAGCAGACAGTTTGCCCAGCCTATACCATCAGAGGGGAGGAGAGACCAGGCTGCCTCAAAGCATGGCTTTTAGTTAGTTTTGCCTCATTCAATCAAACCTCAGGAGAGACAAACAAAAAATCAAAACACAAGAAAGAGGGAGAGGAAACATTATCCTCCTTCCATTGCTCTTTGTGTTCCCTACTTTGCCTCCCTGCTCTGGTTTTTAGCAGTTTGGCCAAGGGGTGGGGTTCTGGGCTAAAGAATTTAGGAAGGTAGGGTTCTATTTGGAATAATTTAGGAAAAGCAGGACCCTAAACATGGCAATGACAACAGTGAGCATCTAGGAAACCTCTACTGTTTTCTTAGCACCTTTTAAAGAGTAGAAATGAAGGCCAGCATCACTACAGCTATTGAAGGCATTGGTTCATGTTCTTGCTCTGAGGGAAAATGTAAAAGAGAGACTGAGAATGAATAAAGGCCACATCGTTTTTACTGCAGGGCCACACTGGGGCAGTGCTTTCAATCTAGCAAGTAAAAAAGTGATAAACAGAAATATCCTTTCAAGGCCACCTCAATTTAGGATTTTCACACTTGGGACAGAACAGGTGTAATGTCTCAGTTGAAAATCAGGGCCATCCTGCCTACTGAGATTTCCTGTTGCAATCCATTTATTTCTTCTCTGCAAAAAAAAAAAAAAAAAATATATATATATATATATGTGTGTGTGTGTGTGTGTGTGTGTGTATTTATATTCTGTTTTCCCTTCAGTTGAAAAGCTGTTTTCTCTGGGAATGCTGTTTTGCAAATGGAGTGTTACAGTGAATAGTCAACAAAAGGAACTGGATCACCTGGGGAAATGAGCCAACACAGGGCAGGGTCAAAGTCATGAGAAGATCTTACCCACTGCAAGCTGTTCGCCCCTTCCTAATTGAAGCACGTGCCTGTTATCCTCTTCTCGGATTTTTAGTCGCCAATTTTTAATTGCGATTGAGTTCTCTCCAACACTTGACACATGCCTGATCAACTGCTGGCCAATGGCCTGTGCTAGTAGACCCATACTGACCAATGTTAAAGAAAAATAAAATTGGAAAGTCAGCCTGTTCAAAAGCTGCACAATGAATGCATTCCCAAAATAAGTGATCAAACTGTTCCTAGATTATTTGGCCCCTGCTTAGTATATCCGAGAGGTGATTATGAAATCTCTCATTCTTTTTTGTGCTTGTGTTTCTATTTATTTTTTTTTACAGTCTGCATTTAAAAAAAATTTTTTTTTCTTTTTTATTATACTTTAAGTTCTAGGGTACGTGTGCACAACGTGCAGGTTTGTTACATATGTACACATGTGCCATGTTGGTGTGCTGCCCCCATTAACTCGTCATTTACATTAGGTATATCTCCTAATGCTATCCCTCCCCCCTCCCCCCTCCCCCCACCCCACAACAGGCCCCGGTGTGTGATGTTCCCCTTCCTGTGTCCAAGTGTTCTCATTGTTCAGTTCCCCAAAGGATTATAAATCATGCTGCTATAATGACACATGCACACGTTTATTGCGGCACTATTCACAATAGCAAAGACTTGGAACCAACCCAAATGTCCATCAATGACAGACTAGATTAAGAAAATGTGGCACATATACACCATGGAATACTATGCAGCCATAAAAAAGGATGAGTTCATGTCCTTTGTAGGGACATGGATGCAGCTGGAAACCTTCTCATTCTTAATTTAGGTCTTGTGCATGGCACAAACAGAAAAAAGAATATGTGTGGTTTAGTATTCTAGGGGTTTTCTAGGAGGCTTCAACCCTTGCTCCATGACCAGCACCACCCACCGCCATCTGGCTGGTCCGCGTGGGCTCTCTGGGACCTGCAGCTCCTGATGGGCTCCACTGCTGCTCCAGCACTTAGCTTCACTGGGTTCCTGGATGCAAGAATGGTTCTCTTCAATTCTACTGGCACTCTACAAGGGTAACGGGAATCAAAGTGGTATCTGTTGTGTCAAAATCCCAAAGGGCGTCGAGAAGTCAGTTAGTCCACTCTGCCTTAAGGGCACCTTTCTTTTAGGGACATAGCACAAATTATAATATATTCACAAAACAAATACAAAGGCCCACACATTTTGAGGAAAGATCTGCTAGTCACCAGCACAGCAGATGTACATGGTAAAGCTGACTTTCCATGTGCGTAGTTTTTTTTTAAGACAGAGTCTTTGTCACCCAGGCTGGCATGCAGTGGTGTGATCTCAGCTCACTGCAACCTCCACCTCCCAGGTTCAAACGAGTCTCCTTCCTCAGGCTCCTGAGTACTGGGATTACAGGCACCCACCACCAAGCCCGGCTAATTTTTGTATTTTTAGTAGAGATGGGGTTTCATCATGTTGGCCAGGCTGGTCTCAAACTCCCTATCTCAAAGTTCATCCATCCACCTTGGCCTCCCAAAGTGCAGGTATTCTTGATCTACAGTGACAGAATATGGAGAAGTATGTCAGTTCAGGTTCTCCAAGAAGCATGTGCCCAGATGGGATTAGACCGCAGAATATTTATTTACTGGGGGAAATCGCTGTGAAGGATAAAAGTGGAGGGAGCAGTAGCAGGGAGTGCCTTCAGACCTTATTCAGGTTGATCACCTGTAAAAGAAGTTTGGGAAGGAGGAAAGGAGATGTAGGTAGGGAGAGCTTTGGTGCAGCTCTGAGAAAGCCTTGGCCAGACCAGAGGAGGGCCCTAGAGCAAAAGTTGCTCAATAGAGTCCTGTGTTGGGCAGCTCTAGCGAACCAACCATCCTCGGAGGTTGGCAGGGAGAATGGGGGTGGCCTAGTCGCAGCATGACCACTGTAGAGGGTCTGAAGGTGTTGCAGCTGGAAGCTGGTAGCCATGGTCGGCCCCCACGTGCTCCCCATAGCCAAGTTCTCTTAAAGGAGCATCTGAGTGGGCACCTCTTGACCACCATAAGGAGAGGGAAAATGATTAAGAATCCTTGCTCAGCCACTTCACTGGATGCCTACCTCTAGTCTATAGGGTTTACCTTTATAATCTTAGCTCTGATTGCATTATTGCTTTAAAAAATGCAATGGCTCCTACTGCATAGAATCAGGATCCAACTCCATAATAAAGCACCAAGGCTATTCACTACCTGGGCTTCTCTCGACTGTCTCTTTGAGAATAGTTCTCATGCTGAAACCCAGAAAGAAGTGCTAACCAGCAGCATGTGTGCCTTTTACCACATAGCATTCTAAATGAATGTGAACCTGATTGCTCTGTGAGCACTTTCTGTTTTATGACAGCAGAGCTACAGCTGGAGGAAGCAATCTTGTGTCTTTCTGCCCTCATGAAGTCACGCAAAGGCAGCAAACCATCTGGTCTACATTATGGGCACTTACTCATATGCCAGGCACCTGAGTTGAGGAGAGGGCTAGTGGAGGATGATGAGGGAAATAGTCATGTCATGCCAACCCCACCTTCTATCATTCTTCTTTCCAATAGATAACCACTGCTTGCAACTCTTCAAATCACACTTCTTTGCTCACACTTTGCATCCCTCGTATGACCCTTATGCATGGTAATGGGAGCTGGATCAAACTCATAATTCTATATTCTTCTGGTAAATTTTATCATTTTTCCCAAGGGTGAAAACAGGCAGTGGCACTGGTAAGTGATCTTTATTTTGAAGGTAATGGTTCCCAGATTGCTTATCTGAGAACGTTGATTATTTTGGATTTTGGAAACAAAACCAAAGTTCACCACCCTGAGCCAGTCCAAACTAAAAATATAACTGGAGAAGGCCCCAATTCCACTTGTAAAATCATTTTATTGGTATAAATATACATATGAATAAAATACTTCCAGCCTGTAATGTAAGTGAATATTTGTGAAATGTCTTATAAAGAGTAGTATTTTGATTTTTACAGGTGTCAAAGTATTCTCTCTTAAAATCACACATTAAAAGCTAATATGCAGACAGAAATTAAAGGCCTTCAAAAACATGAATATTCATAAAACCTCATTCCAATCAACTATATACATTAATCTGGGCACATGGTAAAATCAGCCGCAAGCCTCTCTCACTCTGTTCTTAACTGTGCTCGTTGACGCTATGCAAAGGTCACCGACCAAGCTTTAAATGTACAATTCCACATCAGGAAGGAAGAAGTTCCCCATGGGAGAAGGTAAAAACCATACCCAAGATCTAATATATATAATTTATACAAATTATTAGTGTGCTCTGTTAATATAATTACAATGTGCAATTGCATACATCAAGAATAAATTGCTATATTGAGTCCTGTGTGGATTTGACACAGGTACACTCAGCAGTACTCTGAGGTTTGCTGTGGTGTTACTTGTGTGAGTGTGTGTCCAGTTATTTCATTTATCTCCAAAAACTCATCTTGCAGGGCAATCTGTAGCTGCCTCAGAGAAATTCAAGTAGGGCCCATGGGATAATTGCTGGCTTTCATTAAAGGCATATGAAGGAATGTTTAGAAATCAAATGCGAAGGGTTGGAGGAAGACCAAACAAATGTGATTTGATTACCAAGAAATGGATCTGTTTCTATACAAAAAAAAAAAAAAAAAAAAAAAGCAGGGGATGGGGGTAGGGGGAGAAATAAAGAAAAAGAAGAGAATAAAGCACCGAGAGAAGAACGCCTGGGAAGAAGAGGTGGTGCCCTTGGTTCCTCTCTGATGGCTACCAAAGCACCCTGCACAGAAAGACTTCTGCGTGGGTGACCTTTACACAAAAATAAACTCTTTTTCTGCTTCTTCTCCAGAGTCACTAGATTTGCTGCCTTGATGGCCATCTTTACTGGAGGACCGTTGCTTTTGTTCTTGATACTCCTGGGCCTGCTGGCCCCAGCTTCTCCTTGAAACTGAAATAAAAAGAAAAGTCGCACAGTTTATTGACAAAATAACACCACTGGCCTGACTGACAATGGGCTGAGATGCAGTAGCCTTGAATGTTTGCGGGAGGAGAGGGGAACAGCATGAACTTTCTCAGAAACAAACTTGCTATTATGTTTAGAGACTCTAGACAGAAATGTAAAACCAACCAACAAAGCAGAAACAAAAAGAGAAAACACACACAAAAACACAGTCTATGACAGGGTGAACCTCTCATAGATGTGGGCAAGAATCTGAGGTGAGGACCCCCCAGGCAAGGATGGCGGGGAAGTGGAGGGAGATGCCAGGAGGGAAGAGGGCTTTGAAGTGGTTCTGCCCCAGGTGACCTCCTCAGTCGTAGCTGCCCCCTCATGCAGCAGAGAGAACAGGGCAGACAGAGCCTTGAGGAGATGCTGGGCTGACAGATGTCCCATTCGATGCCTTCTGCAGATGACTTGGGGTTTGTCATTCCTGATTGTGGGGCAGGATATCAGCAAAGGCCTCAGGAGTCTTTCTCAGACCTTTCTGTGACTCAGAAAACCTCAGTTTCACCCTCTAGGAAATAAATACTGTAAAGTCTAGTGAAAATGCATTAAATATTGTCTATGACACAATCAACCATTTTGGAATCACCCTCCAGGTAAAAGCATTACCATTATTGTTGCCTGCTCTGATTACACATAAATTTGAAGAATCCACTGAGGCTTTATAAAGCAACGGTGGGAGAATCATTACTGGAACGGAGCCTCTGTTATGTGTCAGGCACTCTCTGTTTTATTATCGCTATTCCTCACAATTACCTTCTGTAAGGTAGGTTTTGTAAAACTTGAAACCAGGATTTAAACTAGATCTGTCTCTCCAAAGTCTATGGTCTTTCCAACTACAACATGGCTTCACTGCTGTGATACCTTGGGAAAAGGTTCGGATGCTGTACTCCAGCATAGCTATTAAGGATTATTAAATACTATTCATCTTGTCTATTGTATAGACAGTTCTTGAGCTAAAAATACTAAACCTACACACTTTGTGCCAGCTTGAAGGAAGAGTACAGCTACCTCATCACTTGGAAGTTCAAATGATCTAACCAGGAACACACTGTATCAGTCCTTCAAAAGCTATAGGATTCACTTGATGCTTCTAATCACTTGATTTTTGCATTCTGCTAAAAAAAAAACCCCCAAAAAACAAAACTCATCTTGCCAGGAGCTGGCTATTAAAATGTTGAACCCACTGAAGAGTGTTTCAGGAAGTGAAAGCTCATTAAACCTAATAGTCAAAATGCAAACCTAATAGAGTGCTTCTCTTGCCAATACTGGTATTAGAGCCAGATTCTGCTATTTAGACAATAAAAATTTAAATTTTTAGTTAATGACATTAAATTGAAATGACTCAAAACTCTGAAAAGAAAAAAACCTTTCAAATCTGATAATAAAAGTAGGTAATTTCTTTTTTTTTTTTTTTTTTGTTTAGAAATGAAATTTTATTGCAACTGCAAGTTACTTTTAAATGGTTCAGTCAAAAAGATGGATAAACAGAGAGGCAGACATATAGATAAAACTAATATGGAAAAATGAAAACTGTTGAGTCTAGATGTATTGGGTACATAGGAGTTTACTGTACTAGTTTTTAAATTTTTTCTATGTATTTAAGAATGCTGGTAAGAAAATTTCAAGGTAAAACAAAGCTAGAAAAAATTGAAACTCTTCTATTCCCAAATTCTATGACTGCACATATCTAAACCATACCACATCTTTGATCCTTCCAAACTATCCCCCATCTGGAATTCTCCATTTGTACAAATGTCACCTTATTGAAAAACTGCGGTTTGAAATGCTGGAGTGATCCTTGATTCCTCTCTTCTTTTGTGGCTTCATATTTACTAGTCCCAAGTCTACTGAGTCTTCCTTTCAAATGTGTTATATGTTTCACTAACTTTGCATTCCCACTGACATCACCCTTAACATACCCCTGGTCTATTTCAGTATCCCACTTCCTAACTTGATTTTCATGTCTACTGTGTCATCATCAATTTTATCATGTCACTTCCCTGCTCACAAGTTTTCAGTGGTTCTTTTTTTTTTTTTTTTTTTTCTTTTTGACTTTTTTTTTTTTTTTTTATTATACTTTAAGTTGTAGGGTACATGTGCATAATGTGCAGGTTTGTTACATATGTATACTTGTGCCATATTGGTGTGCTGCACCCATCAACTCGTCATTTCTTAAATTATGACTTCTTTTTGTCCAACAGATTTAGGCAAATTCTCAAATCGGGGGAAGAAAGCAACAAACAAATATTATCATTGATTTCTATTATTTTTTCTTTTCTTTTTAGAAATGAGGTCTTGCTCTATCACCCAAACTGAAGTGCAATTTCTATTTTTAAGTTTGTGTTTTTAAGCTTGTATTTTTAAGCTCGTGTTGGGTAAAAAAATTAAATGCACTTGTGTTGGGTAAAAAAATTAAATGCACTTGTCCTTTCAAAGCTGTCAGTAAGCCAGGTTTGGAGAATGAAGGTGCATAAATATCTATAAATATTTTGCTCTTTATCACAAAACCAATTTGATACTAATAGACAAAGAATCCTTTAATTACTAAGAACAAAAGAAAGTAGGGAAGACTTGTATTATCTTCATCCTGAAAACTTTTTACAATAAACCCAACCTTAAACTAGAGTATTTCCTTTGGTATCTTCTAGAAAATATTTTTCATTGTTTTAAAAACAAAATAAGTTCTTCCTCTATATTAAATGACTCAAAAATACACTACAGGTTCAAGGGAAGAAACAAATACAATATACTGCTCTTTTGTCTTCAGAGCAAATATATTTGTTCTAATTCTTAGATTTAAAGGATAATCAAACTTTCCATTCTTCCCAATATTTTTGTTTCCTGGCAATCTTGGGTCTAACTCATGTTCTATGACATGACATAAGAGTACTTTCTAAAAATGGAGAAATTCAAGAAACCAAAAATGTTTATGTCACAGATAAAAAACTGAGATAACCCTATAGACCAGGGTCATTAGAGCAGGCATGATTAAAATTCAAAGAAATCCAACATATAAATCTTCCTGCTAAAAGCAGGTTGTCCTTCAGTCTCCACCTAAATGCTGATTCTTTTGAGTCACTGACACTGGGCTTCCGAATTCTCCAAGACTCAGGGATTGTAGGAGGAAAAATAATATATACTTTCAAGAGGGCTGTCAAAGAATTTCACTATGGTGGTGACTTTATTTAGAAATTCATTCTAACTATATTCACCTCCATTGATTAAACTCTACCAACTGTGAATGTGCATGTGATAATGAGACTAGTACCAGGCTGACATGTTCTTACTATAGTAGGTAAGCACCATTCAAGGACAGGAAAATTAAGGCAGAGCGAGATCAAGGACTTAAAGTTATGCAATTAAGGTGATGAGTTTGAAGGTCAAAGCACTTGGTCTTCTAGTCTCCAGCCTTATTAGTCCAGATGCCTAATGTGAACAACTTTGTAGGGGGAATGTTCTTTGCCGTTTGCTTTCCAGCCCTTAAGGGAACATCTATTTGATTGCATGTAATTAAGATGTTGACTACAACTATATTGAAGTAGGTTTAGTCAGGCTTCTATTAAAAGATGGTTTCAATAGAATTACATCCTTTTTTAAAACTCCAGAATGTATGCATGTATGTATGTATGCATGCAAGCATTTATTCATTTATAGATACTGAGTCTCACTCTGTTGTCCAGGCTGGAATTCAGTGGCGCAGTCATAGCTCACTGTAGCCTCAAACTCCTGGGCTCAAGTGATCCTCCTGTCTCAGCTTCCAGAGTAGCGCAGACTACAGGTGCACCTTCTCACCACACCCAGCTAATTTTTTATTTTTATTTTTGTATAGACAACTCATTTGTTGCCCAGGCTGGTCTCAAACCTCTGGCCTCAAGTGATCCTCCAGCTTCAGCCTCCCAAAGTGCTGGGATTACAGATGTGAACCACAGTGCCTGGCTAGAATTTATTTTTAAAATATTTATAAGATTTAGACGTTTTACAAATTCAGGCAGACCTCCTCTTAGGCAGCTTGAGTTAATGCTTGCTTTTACACAGGGTGAAAAAAATCCAGTTGTTTCACAAACACTTCTTCAATGCAAGTATTTGTTAAGAGTGCTGGAGCATCTCTATGCATGTGTCTATATACATATTTATCACTATTTTAAATATAATTAAAGTTAACTAATAGAAGATACTCAAGTAAATGAACAGGTAATTTATTCAACACAAACACTCCATGTATATACACATCCTGTCTATAGTGGCAATAACTGGTACAGAGAGGCTCGAACATGAAGTCTGTCATTCTTGAAGATGATTTGATATTGCATATATGTGATGATTTTAAAGCTTCTGAAACATGCATATAAATGCAGAGTTAGAGGATCATATGAAAATTTGGTATTTTCTCCATTGTAAGCTCCACTGACATCCATATTTTCCAGGAGAAAAACACTATGATGACCTGAAAATAGTATTCAGTAGTTGGCCCTGATTTTTTATACTTTCTAGCAAGAGCCCAACATGCCAACTGTTAAATTTATCTTTAAGAACTCACTTAGTGGGAGCAGAACTTGAATCTGGTGGAAAAAGTAGAGCAGAGCACTGGCTTACAGACTGCAAGTCACAGCCAAGTATTTATTGGCTGTAGCTTGGATTATGGAAGAGGCAAGTGATATATAAAAGGAATCTTAGAATCAGATGCCCTGTACAAACAGGGGCCATTACAATGCATTCAAAGCCAAAATCAACTATTTTCTTCAAGAAAATAGGATATACTCTTATAAAAATATCACAACGTATAATTAAATGCAGAGAGGAAATAATATGAAATGGAAAAAGATGTGCTTACAAATATTTCTAGTAAAAGAAATTAAGCATTTTGTCTGTCAAATCAATATAATAGCCACACAAAACATAATATTCATGATAGAAATATGCAGCATGCTTTGAGAACAATATTTGAGAATAGCCTCTGTTTGTTTCATGAATACATACTTTAGGAAAATAAGGCTGTTTTAGCGTAAACAAAGCTGCTCTTAAAAGACTTAAAAGAAAGTACATGCAATTATTTAATAGAATTAATCCGCTAAATGTTATTTTTTTAAGCAGGAACTATTCAGAAAGCAGACTGCTACTCAATTCTCAAAGGTGAAGACAGTCAAGTGCTAGGAATCGGCACTAACAAAACAAAATTAAAATATTATGCACAAAATCACTTTAATTGAAGCTCCTGTAAAAATTACTTCTTAATGCCTGTCATTATTTCAAGAAATCAAAGCAGAAAAGTAAATACAAGATGGTCCTATTTAATTCCATCAAAATTTGACCAGCTCCTCACAATGAGAATTTTAAGCTAAAGATTTTAAAGCTAAATTTTAAGCTAAATTTTAAAGAATTTAAGCTAACAAATCTGAGACAGATATAGAATCTCTTCTCCTTGCTTTTCTATAATGTGGGTTATCTCTGTGTTTATCCTCTTTTTACTCTAACGCAAAGCCTCACTGGATGATCAATAGGCACTGGGTGGCAGGTGGCAGGGGAGCATCTCTTTTTGTTTTGTATGAAGTGTTTTTAGTGGCCTCTTGAAGAAGGAACATTGCATCAATGATGCTTTGTTAATAATCAAGTGATATAAGTCAATGAAAACAATAGTTCAAATGTAAAGCTCCAGAATCCAGAAACATCTATGCAACCTTAGGTGCCCTCAACAAAAGGGGCAAGATAGAGACAGAGATTCTGGCCTAATAAATTCTCAAAAATAACTCGTCAGAAAATAAATGTCTTAGGTGTTCATTTATGTAACTTTTCTAGGACTGAAGATAGAGATTTTCTTGGCAATATGAGGGAAACTTTCTTGTAGAGAGGAGCTACTGTAACTATGTATCTATAAACAAATCCACTACATAGGAATTCTGTAAAAGTAAAGGGTCAACTCAATTGGCTTTCTCTAGGGCAGGAGCTACCCAGCCCAAGCAGAATGTTTTATCCTTATGTGTCCTGCAGACTTTGCTTTATGCTCTGAGAGGTATCTTTAACCCACCCCGCCACCTAGCTAGTACATGCTGGAATCCCAGGCAAGTGAGCACACGTGGCTGAGCCCACGGCACTGGCTGAGAAGGCAGGCTCCAAACATTGTCCCTGGCAGGCAGTTGGTAGATGCTCTTTTGTTTTAAAACCTGTATCAAGGAACGTTCTCAAAGACAACAGTTCCCACTTCAGGTGTCATAACTCATTGGGCTGTTAAGCTGTGAAGTGTATCACAAGAAGTTTATTATCAATAGTAAAGTGTGAAAATTCAAGAATAGTTTATCCCTTTGCAGTAAGAGAATAAGAGAAGGTATCCCTATAATAAGGTCACTCCCATTAACTTGTATTCTGAAATGCTTTCTTGGGAGGCAGTGAAGGGCATGGTGTTACAGCCTGAATGCTGGGCCACACCTAATCCCTGGGAGCCTAAATACGTGCATCTATTAACTCCTGATAGTTTCACAGAAAGAAAAGAGCCTCATTCCAAGAGCAGAAGTCCTTTAAAGAAATCTCACATACCAGAATATGTTACATTCTTTACAGGTACTAAGATTTCCTTTAATGGATTTTTGAAGTCATATTTATAAAAAAATTATTGTATTAACCAGGGAGGAGATGAGTACTTTAGGCACAAAAAAAGACATTTTTTCCTCTGAGTCAGCAATACTTGTTCTTAAATTTCCCATTGGAGGGCAAAGCTGATTTGAAATCTGTCTCCTTTCTGTCGCTTGGGATTGTTCTCACGTGAACAGTACGTTACAGAATTTACTACAGGGCCAAATGAAAGACAGACGTCAGAGATAAACTTCTAGAAAATGGAATAAATTGTTCCTGAAGGTTGACAAGTTAATTGGTACTTTTTCTTTCTTACTAAAGGGTGATAAAATGTCCACTGAAAGATCATGTGCATGACCCAACGTCTGCATTGAGTCAGTGACTTTTTATTGATCCTTTTCTGAAAGAATGTAAGATGTTAGGCCAATATTCTCTAAGGATATAAACTCTTGTCATTCTAAGAATCTCTGATCCAACCACAGTTGAAACCTAACAGGAGAGTAAAGATATAAAGGAAGAGAATAGGAGGTCTAACCCCAATTATAAAAATAAACTTGCATGATCACAAAAATTTGAAAGGACAAGTCACCAAAGTAACTTGATCTTCCTCATAAGAATTTCTAATTTTAGATTTTTAAGTCAATATTTTTTTATCCCAAATAAAAGGACCATCCTGTTGACATTTAGAAAAACCAAAAACCAAAACCAAAACCAAAAACAAAAAAACTCTCTCATATGACTCTCTTGTATGACCCAGTCCCATGACAGAATTTACTCAATTACAGTTTGTTTTTGTTAGTGCCAGTTCATAAGCTTTGGGTCAGTGAGGGATGATAATCGAAGGCTCTAACCATTTGTTGGCTGTGACTTCCTGTGCCCAATTGCATTCACTTCCTCTTCTGCAATGGTGGAGTACAGTTTTGAAGATCTTTTCCCTCTACTGGAAGGCTTGCCACTGTCATGATCTGAATGTCTTTTGTAATAATCTCCTCTTTGCACTACTGAGGAAAAGGGATTTATTTTACCCTTTATATTAGCACATACATCAATGTGTTGACATTAATATTTAAAAATGTAAATATTAAAAATTAAATATCAGCTTACCCACCCCACTTAGGATTCAAGGAACCTACAGTGCTGGTCCTGGGCAGATATACATCATTATCTACAGAATTCAACAGCCAACATTATGGAAATGTCGTGCAAAATGAGGTGAGCTCTGATTCTGCCCCAAAAAAGTATTAACAAAAAGGCCCCAGTATTATCATTTTGATTCCATGATGGATTAATGAAAATCACATTCACTATGGAATAATCCAGAAGAATCATAGCAATTTACCTGCTTCAGAAATTAGTTGGGCACGCTAGTCCAAAGGGAGGCAAAGAACAGGGAAATGAAGTAACCAGCATGAATAACAGATAAGAAAACAGAAATGAGCACAATATGGACAGTTTATAAAGAAAAAGATAGGACTCACAAATGGCTGCCACTTCTGGGCCACCTTAGTGGACAAGCTGATAAAGTCAAAATCTTACTACCTCAGACATTTACAGACTGTTCCCAGACTTCATGTATATTTTCAGTCCAATTTGTATACCAAGTGATAACATCAGGATGATGTCTTTGATTAACTTATTCTGGATCCCAGGTGGGAAAGTGATGGTCTCCACAGCTCAGCCATCCCTACCGTCCGACTGGAAAGAAGGGCGTGGGAGCCATTCCTAAGATTTGCTACTAGGGGAGGGAGACGGATGAGGAAGGGGATCAAACATCCACCCCTAAAGCTCTGAAACATTTAAAGAGCAACACATTCTATCTCTAACTTCCTGGGGAAAGAACACTCGACTTTTTCACAGCAGCTAAAAGCCTGCAGCAGTATCCACTATCTCCCCGACTTTGTTAACGAGAGAGGCTCCATGATATATATTTGCACTTGTTAGGCTGGTGGTTACTCTAGGCCCTGTTTTGATCATTTATAGGCATCTAGAAAACATCGTTTTCCAGAAATGTTAAAAGAATGATTTTTGTATTCAACCTTCTGATCTTTTTTCTACTTTTGTAAATCCTTCAATATTTCAATTGCTTCAGACAAGACAGATGAGCATTCCTACTTAGCACTACCATCCCTTCCTCACCTTTCTTTTTCTCTCCAACTGAATTCTTTCGGGCATTTTCAACACTTCCTTAAAAGTAAAGACGTAAAGTTAGCAGTTGCAGAAAGGATGGAAAATTAGGGTAGGAATGGGGGAGGCACTTTGTGGTGAGAACTGGACTGTCAGAAAATACCTGCCGGCTCAAGTCTCTCTGAGCTGGCACCACCAAAGGTCCTTCCTTTTATACCAAGTCTTCCAAAGGCTTCGGTTATAATACTGAACCCTGTATTTATTTATCTCATGTAAAATGACTATAGATACCAGCTACTTTTCAAAAGCTTTAGTTTCTCTATTTGGCAGAAGTGGTTTAGCAGCTTTGGTCTCAACCCTACCATCTTTTATTTATAGCAAATAGGTGAGTAAAGCTTCTACCCAACAAATAAATCTGTAGGATGGAGATGAGAAAGCAGGCAGTGTTACTGTTTTTATTAGATTTCCAAGCCACAAAGACAGTACTATGCTCAGTAACACTTTCTATTAACTTCAACCCAATACTATTATCAATAAAAGAAAAAAGGCCATTGTAGGAAGAAAACAGTCAGAGAGATCAAAGGATTCTAAAGCATTAAATACATCTAAAATAAAACACAGCAACTCCAAACCACAATGAGAGCCTTCTGGGTGTAGACGACTTGTGTAGCTCTAGAATTTCCTTATAGGTAGGGCTCAGAGATGGCATTTACACTATACATTACATACGACAGAACCCCAAAGTCGATCATACATTTAAAAGAAATGGCATGGGTGCTGAAGCCACAACCATGCCTCACCTCTGATAGTAACTGGTAACAGCTCAATCTGATTTGGGAAGAAAGCATTCTTGTCACAGGATTAGCTTGCTGTGCTTCTACCTCAGCAAATTAGAAGGAGCAAACTGGTGCAAAGTCGCCCTGAGAATGTCCACGTCTGCACCACACTTCTGAGAGTGAGGAACATCTGACCTTGTGACTCAGTGAGCACCGTGAGTGAGCTGCAAGGTGGCTCAGGCCCAGGGGTGCTGCTCCAGAACTACTGCAGTAGTGATTTACCACAAGTAGGAAAAGATTTCGTTGAAAATAATGGGACTCAGAAATCTGTATTTAGCCCCAAATATGTCATAAAATCATGTTTAAGGAGCTCCTAACATGCTGGAAGTCAGTTCAGAAGCATCTAGAAATTACTCTTGCAAATAAGTTAGACCTTTGGTTGGGTATCTCAGCTGCTTTTTTCATTTGTCATTAAGATCCAATGTCACCAATCATGCTGAATCGTTTCTGAACTAAGAAACTACTCCATTTCCAAAAATTTAAACCCAAGGAATGTTGACTTTAACAAACTCTAAGATATTAGTAAAGTCCAAAATGAATTCCTTTATTTTGAAATGTCCCTCCTTGGGGAGAGCTAACCCAGAGAAAAGAAATCCTTACCTTCCTGTGAAAATGTCCTGGGGCTGGGCTGGGGGCTACTCTGGCCATCTCTCTCCTTGTCTGAAGGAACTTTTTTCAGGACAGGTGGAAGAAGGGCAACTTTCGGGCTAGATGGAGAGTCTGGAATGTCATCTGAGGAGACACAAACACGTGACTCAAACCATCCTACAAACTGGATTCCAAGAACATAAAGCCTGGTAAATATATATATATAAATAGGTCATTTTAAAAAAAAGCATCATAGAATTTTTCTGGCCAAAAATTAGTTTTATGTCTTTGCTCAGTTAAGTTACATCCACAAACAAAAGGGAAAACCAATGAATACTCATAAAAAGTTAGTATCTGAAAAGATATGAATCTATCCTGTAGATCAAGAATTTCAATGTGCTGATATTTGAAAATTAGACTGTAAGTAAACCACATGTTCCTTCTGACTTAAACACAAAGCCTGTTTGGTTTTCATAAAATATGTAATACTTACAAGACACCGCCTTTACCTGTTGTCAAACCCAGTACAACAGTCACTATACATATGTGTGTATGTGTATGCATGCATGCATATATGTAGCTCACTAACAAAAATTTGGAATCATGGTCTTTTAGAACCAGAAAAAACTCTGGTCACTGGACAAATGAAGAGCTTAAAAATAAGAAAGATGACAAAATAGCTAGGACTAGAATTCTAGTCTCTTTTCTTCCTTTTTTTTTTTTTGAGACGGAGTCTTGCTCTGTTACCAAGGCTGGAGTGCAGTGGTGCGATTCCGGCTCACTGCAACCTCTGCCTCCCGGGTTCAAGTGATTCTCGTGCCTCAGCCTCCCAAGTAGCTGGGATTTCATCGTGTTAGCCAGGATGGTCTCGATCTCCTGACTTCATGATCCACCCGCCTTGGACTCCCAAAGTGTTGGGATTACAGGTGTGAGCCACCGTGCCCGGCCAATTCTAGTCTCTTAATTCAAACACCAGGGCTGTTTCACCCTAATTGAAAGCTTGTCCAACCCATGGCCCACAGGATTGGACAAGGATGCGGCCCAGGTTGGCTTTGAATGCAGCCCAACAAAAACTTGTAAACTTTCTTAAAACATTACAAGATTATTTTGCCTTTTTTTTTTTTTTTTAAAGTAATCAGCTATTGTTAGTGTTAGCATATTTCGTGTGTGTCCCAAGACAATTCTTCTTCCAACGTGGCCCAGGGAAGCCAAAAGAGTGGACACCCTGACTACTGGATCTTGCTCCTTCCTTTGCTGTTACCAGCAAGGTGGTTCTTAAGTTGGTGTGTGAGTGTCTGTGCACGTAGAAGACAATCTACAGCAAGGTTCTCTTCAGTCTTACACTTCCAGTTGCCTACTTGCTTAACCAAAATAAGCAGGGATGTGATAAGACATGTGAAGATAACACTATCCACCTTCACAAGCTGTCAGAGCTGTGGCGGAGAGGAAATGAGATGGTGTATTTGAAAATGCCTGCTGAATTCCCAAGCTCTATAAAAACATGGGTTTATTAACATAATTCTTGATACACTAAGTGCTATGAAATAAATGAACACATTTAGTAAATAAACAAAATAAAACTGCTTGCAACAGAATATTGGGAATTCAGCTAGTTTTATATTCAGCATTAGAAACTAGGGAGTGGTCCCCCTTTATCCACATGGGATACAATCCAAGACCTCCAGTGGATGTCTGAAACCATGGATAGTACTGAACCCTACATAAGCTGTGTTTTTTCCTACACATACACCTATAATAAAGTTTAATGTATAAATTACGCACAGTAAGATATTAACACTAAAACCCAATAATAAAATAATTGTAACAATATACTATAATAAAAGTTATCTGAATGTGGTCTCTCTCTCTCTCTCTCAATATCTGCACCATGAATAACTGAAACTGTAAAAAGCAAAACCTTGGATAAGAGGGGCCTACTGTACTCTACAAACTAGTTACTCTACAAACTAGATTCATTTTATAAGAACTGTTTCTTTATTGTAGACTAGAGACACACCTAGCTGATGACAATGCTAGGAGCAAGCCTCCTTTTGAGAACTTATTTGCTTTGCTTTCTATTAAAACATTTTTCCATTTTCTCTGCCTTCATTCTCTCCACTCCTTCTACATGAAGACATTGTGTGCGTACCAATAAATTTTTTGTGTTCCCCATCATAAAGAACTTTGGTTTGGGAAAAAGTTTGAGGAGACTTAGGAAGTACTCAGGGGTTTGTTTCAAGGCTTAGTTCCTTGAGGTAAAGCCAGTATACCCCTTTCTTTGTGCTTCTCTTTGGAGATAGTTTACTGGTTTTTTCAAGGGACCAATGGACTATGAAGACCAGGGAGTGTCATCCAGGCTGGCCACCCAGGAAATGAAAAAAATACATGAGGGAACATGGGAAAGAACCACAAGTGGAAGAAGTTTGGACACACAGGATTCTACCTTTTTGCTCATTCTACCCAAATCATCTGCACATTGACAAATTATTAGGATGACCTGCGCATCTTACTTTACAATATGCATGTCCATGGGGGAGAGGTCAATAGAAACACAGTAACCAAGACAGTTGGTGGAGTCAGAACATCTGGCGGCTACCCAGACACACCAGCTGCGTGACTTGGCAAACTCAGTATCTCTATGCCTCAAATTCCTCATCTGCAAAACGGAGCAGTGATGAGGATATTGAGAGTTCATCATAAAGCACTTACAACAGTGCCAAGGACACAGTTAAGTGCTCAAAGATTATCCATGATGATGATGTGACTATATTATTTTTATCCCTGTTTGACTAATTTTTGTGGGAGAACAAGGGGAAGAGGTGAAGAATTGATGTAACTTTCGTTATATTACCTATCCTACTTTTGTGTATGTTTGAAAATTCTTACAATGGAAAGTTAAATTTAAAAAAAATTGTGTGTGTGTGTGTGTGTGTGTGTTTAAGAGATAGGGTCTTGTCACTCAGGCTGGAGTGCAGTGGTGTGGTCACAGTGTGATGACAGCCTACACTCCTAGGCTCAAATGATCCTCCCACCTCAGCCTCCCAAGTAGCAGGGACTACAGGTGTGCACTACCACACTAGGACTTCTTTTGTGCAGGAGAGAATAAGGTGAAGACCAACCCATTTCTAATATTTTTAAGTTTCTTCTATCATTAGATTTTCTAAACTAAGAGTCAGCAACCTTTTTTGTAAAGGGCCCAAGAGTAAATATTTTACATTTTGCAGGCCATATGGCCCTGTTGCAAGCACACCATTCGGTGACTGTAGCACAGCCACAGCCCCAGATGACACCAGTACAAATCGTATGGCTGTGTCCAGGAAAACTATTTACAAAAACAGGCCCATTGTTTGCCAAGTCTTGTTCTAAACCCTTGATACATCATAGAATATGGCATAAAAACTGAAGAGCTTGTGCTTTCCCCGTTTGTAGCCTTCATCCTTAAACTGCTGCTTTTCAGTGTCTGAACACCCTGGAGACAAGTATCAGAAAGCCAAGCCAAGCACTGCAGATGGGTCAACATGACAAAAGACAGATGTCCCTGTCTTGCCTACCAACCAACCTGTACCCCTGAAAGCAAGGATAGTCTCAGAGTCCCCAACTCTGACACACGGTGGAGCTCAGCATTGAATAAAGGAATCCCTCAGCTCTCATCACTTTCACAGCTTTGCACAGGTTTCTTGTGATCCCCTCCTGCAGAAGCCGCTGTACCTTGCTCACTAGCTGCCCCTGAAACAACCTGCAGCATCTGATCCAGCTGGCTCTGGGAAGCTACCTGGTCACAATGCAACTCCCTAACTGCAAAACTCTTACCAGGCCGTGAGGCGGTTCTTGGTTTCTGTGGGATGACGGGCCGTGCTGCCAGGCTGGGTTTGGGGGACTGCAGGAGGGGCTTCGGGCTTGTAGGTGTGCTGGATGAGCTCCGAGACCTGGAACCTGCTTCCACTTTGGGTTCTGCTTTGGTATTCTTTTCTGGTGTTCCCAAACCAAAGCGGTTCTCTGGAAGACCTGGGTGCAGTTTAGGCACTAAGACGAAAAAGGCCACTTTAAAATTAATCAAAGGTCAAAGAAGCCAGTAACTTGAAACTAGAAGTCTGGTACAAACCGCTATAATCATTTACCATTGTTTCTCATCATGGATGTTTTAAGAATATCTTAAGAATATGCTGTTCTAGCATGTTTTTAAAATCAAAACATGCTGGAGGAAGAGTAATGTTCTTTGTAGAAAAGCAATAAACTTTTTGGTTCTTTTCTGATCACCCCTGACTATTCTAGGGTTGACAAGCTTTTACATTTAATAGTGTACAGTGCTGTAATCACATACAAGGAAAACAGTGGTTCTTCAGGCATTTGAAGTGTTCAGGTCTTTCTCAGATCTGACACAAGGTACAGGTATAACCAAATGGAAGTGCCTTGGTTCTGGACAACAAGCGGTTAGGGCTCTGGCTGCAGGTTCTAAGAGAGGAGGGCGATGCTGATGGCTGCAATCTCATGTTTAGTGAGAACAGCTCCAGAAATGTCATCTCATCCCCCACCTCCATCCATACTGCTGCCTTAATTTAACAAGACAACTGGTAAAAATAAGCCCATAAAATGTGATTTATCATCCAACTCTTACTGCACCAAGATACTGTAGCTATGCATAAGAATCTCAAATAGCAAAATGAGGATTCTATCACACAGTTAACACATTACTCTCCAGTTTTCATCTAAGGTATTTTCTTATTTTATTATACCTAAAAAGTCAGAGGGACAAGTGATATTGGATTTCATGCATATTCAAGCTGCAAGGGAAGCATATTTTCATACCAAATAAGACAGCCACCCATCTTCCATATATCATGCATGGCTTATTCTTAAATACATCAGCCATGATCCTGTATGCTGCCCCCACCCCTAACTTTGCCAAAATGCTCCAAGTTGAGGAGTTTGCAGTGAAAAAAATAGTCAGAATTTCCTCCCTTTGGGAAATCAAAAAGTGCCCTGTCCAGGCACAATGCTACAGTGGGGCAGGACGCACCCCAGGGGAAGGTAGGTAAGGGATGTGGTCTTTCAGGTGGTAGCTGAGAACACACAACAAAGAGATCGGTTCTTGCCTCCCCATTTAAATTTTTCTTCTGTCAATCACATGTGACTCCTGCAATCAGAAGGTAAGCATTTTTCCGAAGGGATGATGGCAATTGCCTGACTTACCTGCCCCACCTCCATCCAACCGTTCTACGCTGCTCAAGGCTGGGCTGGAAGAATCCTGGGATACGGCATCATTCCCAAGCTTCTGAAAAATTTAAGCACCATCCCTCAAAAAAGTGCACATTTATTTAATGCAAAAGTGAAAAAACAATGCAGGTAATAAATGACAGCAAAGAAGGGCTCTTTAACTCAGCTGCTGTTACGGTGACTGTGCCTGACTTGCCTCCGTAGGCTCTCCTACTGGGACAAAGCTGTGAGAAACACATTCTATTCTGTGTTTACGGTCAGAGCCGTGGGGTCCAAAGTGTGGCCGGTTTGGTTCCTCGGAAGGCTCCTCACAGGAGAGAAGTGCACAGGGCCAGGGAAAGTCAGTGGGCTCGGTGACCTTTACTGTTTTTCTTGTTGAACATCTATGCAGCTCTGCAGCCCCTGATGCTTTATGTGATGAGGGCCCTTACACACTAGAAATTGACAGAATCTGCTCTAGGTCTGGTTTCCAAAAATCTAGTTTTGGCTGGGTGCAGTGGCTGTAATCTATCTCAGCACTTTGGGAGACTGAGATGGGAGAATTACTTGAGGTCACAAGTTTGAGAGCAGCCTAGACAACAAAGTGAGACTCCCCCACCCCCATCTCTGCAAAAAATAGAAAAATTAGCCAGGCATGATGGCATGCATCTGAAGTCCCAGCTACTCAGGAGGCTGAGGCAGGAGGATCACCTGACCAACCCCAGGAGTTTGAAGCTGCAGTGAACTATAATCGTGCCAGTGCACTCCAGCCTGGGTGACAGAGCAAGACCTTATCTATTAAAAATACATATATATATATAATTTTCAAAGCAGCAGCAACCTTTCCAACCTCAATGATAATATAGGTGAAAGGGGTCCTGAAATAGGCAAGGTCTTCCTTGCTTTGAGGCAGAATCACAGGACACAGATCTATTATTTAGGAGGCAAATACAGATGAATAGGACTGAACAAATTTTTTAAAAATCTGCAGGTGGGAGGAATTAGTGATGGCGAAGATGGTGATGATGGGGAAAGTAAAATGCCACTGTCTTGGGGTAGAAGTGGAAAGTTTAGAAAGTCCACACTAGACTGAGGCATTTAGATACCAAAAAAGATATAGAAAGCAAAGTCTGGTGTTTACGTCATAATATCTAAGAATTATATTGACAAAGATGGTCTACATCCACCTCTTATCTAACAGGCAAAAACAAGGTGGACCAGTAGACCAGGAGGCATGATGATTCCCAAGGCAGTCTGACCTTCAGACTACTGGTTCCTGCTCATCTCATGCTTCTGACAAACCTCAAAAGCTCTGCAGCCAGCCAATTCCTAACTTTAAACTGTTTGATGACACAGGAAGGATTATTTGAAATGCAGGTGAGAAAAGCCTCACTCCCTGAAATCATCAATCTACTCCAGTCACACACTCCCCAGGAGTGCCGGCTCTATCAGAAGGAAGCACCCAAGGGGCAGGAAGGCTGAGGAATTTCTCAGGAAGATGACAAAAGTTCCACTGTCATGAGTGCAAGGTGCTAAACAGGTGTCCAGGAGGAAATCTGTCTACAAGCACTGCAGCTAAAACAGGCACATTACTTGGCTTCACTATGGAAAAGTGATCTCCTAAAAAGGAGGCCCCATGCCAGCCCTCTGTGCCCAGGACAAGTGCCTGGAGGACTGGGCTGGGGACCATCCATGAAGTCCCCTTCCACATCCTTCCCTTTCAGGTTCCTCCAAGTGCAGGGCAGGCACCTGAAAGTGAGGACCTCCTTAAACTCTGTACCCGGGGCACCTCATTTGCCTGCATCTCTAAAACAATCCTGGGAGTTGTTTTCTTTTCCCTCCCATATTTTTAAAGTTATTTATAAATCCCAAACTGACTGTGGGGAATAAGGATAAAATAATATAATGCCCACGGCCTTTGTGTGTAGACAGATGTCTTGGAGGCCCCAGAGGAAAATACATGAACTTTAAGTATTCACTGATTGTTTCTTTTGTCAATAAATGAAGTGTCATATCTTCTATATACATATATAGAAAAAGAACTGTAAGTATTATATATATATATATTTATATGTATTTTTATATATATATAAAATGCCAAATATATAAAATGCCAACAATGCAAAGAGAATTACTCAGAGGAGGGTGAGGACATCATATATTTTATCAACAGTATACTGATCATTGATGCTAATTGTTGCTACCTTTATAAAGAATACAGTCATGGTACTTTAGAAAAAAAATGTTCTAAAGCAAATTTTTGAAAAACTGTATTATTTAATGATTTTGACAGAAGACCCATGACTGAATTTTAAATAGCAATAATTTTTAACAATGGTGGTTTACCACACTAGATGGCGCTAAGAGATCATTAATACTGTGTAAACCCTAAACAAATATAAAACCATAAAGATTTTGTCACTTTAAGCTGATTTAGATATCAAATCCAAAGTACATGAATCAAACACTCTAGCACATGTCATCTTTACACCAAAAAGAAACTGTTAATCATGAAAAACATAAACAGCATATTAATGAAAACCGCACATTCATTGTTATAAAGAAATTCACCCCCGTCTCTACTAAAAAAAAAAAATACAAAAAATTAGCCGGGCGCGGTTGTGGGCGCCTGTAGTCCCAGCTACTCGGGAGGCTGAGGCAGGAGAATGGCGTGAACCCGGGAGGCGGAGCTTGCAGTGAGCCGAGATCGCGCCACCGCACTCCAGCCTGGGCGACAGAGCGAGACTCCGTCTCAAAAAAAAAAAAAAAAAAAAAAAAAAAGAAATTCACAACATGCATTAAAATTTTAACATTTCCTTTGGCATCTGACTCACTAATGACATGGTTGTAGTATTATCCAGAATTCTGACCAGTGAGGGTCACACCATGCCTCCTTTGTTGAGTGAGCAGGATGTAATTATGTGGTCTCTCCCAACTCTAAGGGTTTGTCAGTGAGTTAGGAGGGATCTATAATTAGAGAATTGCTAAATAATGTTGATGTTGGTGGGAGAACTTTGGTGAATAGTTGTAAGATCAGGTGGGAAGTGGAGTTTAATTTTTAAACATTGGTTGTTTAGAAGCCATATAAAAGAGCTCCCTACACCTGCCATTAGTTAATTGTTTACTTTCTGAAAGTCAAGGGCTTACCGGGATGAACTGTTTTATTGTGGTACTTCAAATAAAATAGACAGGTGATATCCTTTCTTTGGAGAACCAGTTGTGTAAAAATAATGGAGCTCAAGATAATGCACAGAAGCCATAACCTGACTTACACATGGGTATGTTCATTTTATCACACGGATACAATCCTTCGTGCAGTGACAGGAGAAAACAGAGGTAAAAAGGAAAGTGAAAAAGACTCCTTAACACTTTAAAAGGAGGTTCGAAGAACAAATAATGTTTTAAGTCAGATTTTGGGGGAACTCAGCAAATTTTAAACTATGAAGTTTTTCTTTGTAGGAACAGATGATATATATCAATGGTCAAATATTCAATTAATTCTAATAGAATACCTTGACTGTTATTTCTTTTGTCTTTTAAATCTGGAATATAGCAAGGCATCCTTAGGTTTGAAAAGAGAATAATTTTTAGGTTTGAAAAGGGAATAAGTTAGAAAATAGTTTCCATTTTTATATATAATCTAGTTTCAGTGTTTTTATTTCCCTCTGGTAGTTCACCTATCTTCAATATTACCTTCAGTCTTCCATTTGGATTCAGTTGACTGTCTTTTCCCCCAGACATGAGCATTTCCCCTGACCCGGGACCATCTCTGACATGCTTCCACGACATGCACAGGAGTCCCCTGGGCAGGTGGGAAAAGACTGGGGTCTTCAAAAGCCTACCTTAGAATGCTGGCACTCCACAAGAGTGTGACCCTCAGGCCAAAGTGAAAACATGGCCATTTCTTTAGGGTCTGTACTGCAGGTTCTTTAGCAGTAAGTTATAGTTTTGGATTTCTATTTAACCAACAGGCTATTTTTATTTTCTCACCCAAATAAACCAAGTGAGGGCAAAAACACAAACAAGGACAACCAAGTAAAAAATGAACCCCCACTTATCTCACGAAGACAAGGAGTAGATTGGGGGCTACCAGAGGGCAGGAAGTGTGGGGGCATGGGGGGAGATGAAAAGAGGTGCAAAATGGGTACAAAAACACAGCTGATAAAAGAAACAAGATCTAGTATTGGACAGATCAGTGGGGTAGCTCTAGTCAACAATAATCTATTGTCTATTTCAAAATAGCTAGAAGAGAGTAATTTGAATATTCCCAGGATAAAGGAAAGTTAAATGTTTAAGGTGATGGACATATATAAAAATATCACATGCACCATGAAAATATGTGCATCTATTATATATAAAAAAAATGAATTAATTAAAAAGAGGCCCACCCTTACCTTCTGTGCACACGCAGCTCTCTTCTCTTGCTTGGCTTTCATCTCTGCCAGCAGACCACTGCCCATCACCTGGACCCCATACCTCCGCCCTCCCTGTGGGCTGCTCTTGCTGTCACTCCGTTCCACCTTCCCTATTTCTTCCCCTTGACTCTCTTCAAAGGAGTCAGGTGTTTTTATCTCCTCTATCCGTTCAGAATTGCCATTGTGCTCGGTGGCCTTTGTGTCCTTCCTGGGACAGTCCACAGGTGGACTTTTGACGGGCCCTTTTGGTGAGGAGGGTTCTTCTGTCATCAAGATCGTTGGTGGCCGCTCAGATTTGGACCGGGATTTGATTAAGTTGAGAAAGCCACTACTTTTCCGAGAATCTCGCTTTTTCTTTTCATCTCCTCCTTCATTAAGCTCATGAGACTCTGAGCCTCTTGTTGACCATTTCCTGCATTTCAAACCAAGACACAGATCTGTTGTTTTTACTGTAAATAAGTTCCGGCAAGAATCAGTCAAAATATAAATATGGAGATTGCTACATATACAGTAACCATTCAGAAGCACATTTAAAAGCGGATTTGAGTTACTACCTTTAGGAAACAGAAAGGAATGTGGAATATCATCATCATATTCACATGTGAGAAAATTGAGGTGCGCAAACATTATGTATGAAAGATGAAAATGTAACTGGTACAGCCAGTGTGCTAGCTTACTCTAAAAGTAACTCCTCCCTCCCTTTGTTTCTTGTTTTATATATGTATCTAACTACCTGCTCTGCTTGAGAATTCCAAAGAGTAATCTTGAAACAATCCAGGCATAAAGCAGAGGTGGTGGTGCAATTTTCTCCCTTCCGAGAAGAAATTGGTACGTAGTTAATCCATAACCTAACCTCTGCCAATAGGAAACCAACCAGACCTCCAAATGGTCCATTACTCAAGATAGTCATCAGAAAACAACTAACACACTGGCATCCCACACCACTCCTGTGCATAGTTTTCATGCCGCCTTTCACCTTAAAACCCTTTTAGCCAGCCTGAAAATTTGAGGTGGCTTTTTGGGACTTGAGTCTGGCCATCTCCCAAGCTGTCGTCACTTGCATAAACCAAACTTCGCTTCGCACGTGTTTGGCTTTTTGAGCGGCAAGCAGCTAAACCTGAGTTTGGTTCCAAAAAGGCAGAGAGTATGCTCTGGGAGAGAGTTTTCAGAGGGAGAATATGCTGAAACTTGGGAAATGGAAAGGGAGAAAAAGTCAATGAAATGAGCTAAGTAGGAAATATCACAGACAACTGACTCATTTAAAGCTGGCAGACTGAATATCCACTTAGCTCCCCTGAATCTCCATTAAAATAATAGCAAAGGATTTATAAAAGAAAGTATAAGCCCTATAGGGAAGAAAAGGCAGAAACAACAAAATTTGGAAGCCAAAATACGCTAGATATGTGTGAAAATTGACTTAATAGATCAGAGAAAGCTGAAACCTAAGCCAACAGTCGGGGAGACCCAGAAGCATGTGATTTGTGCTGGTTCCAGAATGAGGAGATGCAGGTACCTCTGCAAGTGGAAGTGAAGGGGAAATGAAGACAGGAAGGTTCTCTTCTTTGTGAAGCCTGTTCAGAAATTCATCAGATCCTCTCCCTAAACCACAGAGCCAATGATGCCCATCCCAACACCCAAGTTCACTCTCCGGAGAGAATGAACCAAAGAAGCTGAGCTGGGGGACACCAAATGCAGCTGAACTGAGTGAAGATCACGAAACAGGCAGGCTCAAGAAAGCCTGCACAATGAGCAGTGACACCCCCGGGACCCTTTTTCTCACTCTGCATACCAGAATCAGGCAGGCAGGTTTATACCTGCCAGGCAGGAGATCGAAGTTTCCAAAGCTCAACAGAAAAGACCTAAAGATTCTGAGAGTCAGGGATACCCTCTCCCCCAACAAAATGGTCCAGGAAGACCACCATACATTGAAGCCCACCAGTCGATAAGCTCTACCCACAAATTTCCAAGAAGCTCTTCGGTGCCCCATTCCTTTTCAACATGGAAGAGAAAAAAATATTGTGTCCACCAACATGAATAATAGCAAAATGTGATAGCAGAAGTAGAAAACTCAAGGTTGGAAGACACTACTGAGGAAATATTCCAGAAAAAAAAAAAAGGAATATAAAGAATAAAAAAAAATAGGAGAGAACAGGTAGGAATCAGTGGATTAACAGAGGAAATAAAAAATCTGAATAACGGCCTGGGCATGGTAGTTCATGCCTGTAATCCCAGCACTTTGGGAGGCTGAGGTGGGCAGACTGCTTGACCCTGGGAGTTTGAGACCAGCCTGGTCAGCATGGGAAAATCCCTCCCTACAAAAAATACAAAAATTAGCTAGGAGGGGTGGTCCATGCCTGCAGTCCCAGTTAAAAGAGTCTGAGGTAGGAGGATCACCTGAGCCTGGAAGGTCAAAGTTGCAGTAAGCCATGATCACGCCACTGCACTATAGCCTGGGTGATACAGTGAGATGCTATCTCAAATAATAATAATAATAATAGAAGTTTAAGAAAAAAAGTACAGAGAAAAAAGGAAGAAATTATGAAATAAATAATTTTTTAAAATTCAGCAATAAAGGACATGAGTTTCCAGAATGAAATGGCTTATAAGTGCCTGGCAAATTGGTTTTTTTTAAAAATTAAAAAATAAAAAATCCACCTCAGGGCACATATCATCATAAAATTTTAGTACACTGGGAATGCAGAGAAGATCCCAAATGCTTCCAGAGGAGAGGGAAAACAAAAGCAAGTCAGAAACAAAAGATCAGGACTCAAGTCGACATCAGATTCTCATAGCAACACCGGAAGCTAGAAGATAATGGAGCAAAGCTATCAAAATGCTAAGGTACAAGGAAGACCAACCTACAGTTCTATACCTAGTGATACTATTAATCCAAATGAAAGATATGCAACAGTTACAGAAACTTGTTTTCCAAACTTCTCTTAGGAAGCAATTCAAGAAGGTGCTCCACCAAAACAGGGGCATAAACTAAGACCAACATGGGCCAATGGAAATAGAAAAATGACACAGATGAGGTGAAGGGAATCCCCCAGCAGATGATGAACGGAGATCCCAGAAGACAGCAGTGGGATGGACCTAGAGGACACACTGGAGCTGGTCAGATGCTGGTAAGACGTGTGTCCAAAAAAAGAAAAAAAACTGAGAATACTTGAACAAATTGAAAGGAAATTTATATCTTTATTGGACATTTAGGAGATAAGTCAGTGAAAGGAATGCAGAAAACAAAGCAAATGAAAAAGGGGACAATTATTAACACCAAGGAAAACAAAAAATTCTATAGAAAGAAAATGTAATCACAGTATACAATCTAACACAGTTGTTAATATTTACATGGTTAGAATGAAGCAAACACTCAATATTGATCTAACCAACTGCTGTGGTTTGTCCCCATCAAAACTCATGTTGAGACTTGAGCTCAACATGAGTTTTGATAGTATTGGGTGTTGGTACCTTAAAGAGGTGATTAGGTTATTAAAATCAATTACTGAGACTGGATTAGTTCTCATGGGAATGGATACGTTCTTGAGAGCCTCGGTTGTTATGAAGTGAGTCAGCCTCCTTTACCCCTCCTTTCTTTTTGCACACACTCAATTCTCCTTTCACTTCTCTGCCATGCCATTATGCAGCAGGAGGCCCTCACCAGAAGCCAACCAGTGTGGCCACCCAAACTTGAACTTCCCAGCCTCCAGAACCATTAGCTAAACAAACCTCTTTCCTTTATAAATTGCCCACTCACAAGTATTTTGTTATAACAACAGAAACAGACTAAGACACTAATCATGATAAAATTAAATAAAGAAGATGAGGTAAGGAAAAGTGTGTGTGTCTAAGTACATGTGTGTGTCTAAATATGTGTGTGTGTGTGTGTGTGTGTGGTGACAGAGTATATAGGTTGAGTATCTGCAATCCATAATTTGAAATGCTCCAAAATTTGAAACTTTTTCACCACCGACATGATGCTCAACAGAAATGCTCATTGGAACATTTTGAATTTCAGATTAGGGATATAAAACCAGCAAGTATAATACAAATATTCAAAAAAGAATCCCAAATATGAAACACTTCTGGTCACAAGCATTTCAGATGAGAGATATTTGGTCTGTATTATCATCATCTAAGTAAGAAGTTAATGGTTATAGTACTACCTAAAAATGAAACACAGAAAGAAAAAAGAAAGTATGCTATTAAGACAAATGGAAGAAACAGCTAAAGGAATAAAAACTAGTTGCTTCTGGGGAATAGGGAGTGGGAAAATAACAAGGAACTTTTTTTAGGCCTTCGTAGAACATCTGACACTTTATGAGCATGTATAACTTTGATTTTCAAACTTTCTTCATACTACTTCATGATTTTACCTATCCCTTGACCTTTAAAGACTGGACTGATAATCTATTTATAAAAAATTTTAAAATCACAACTTAGTAGATTCCATCATATTATTTGATGATGAAAATTGATGTATTTAGTTCTATTTGTGCACTGAAACAGGAACAGAATCTTCCTTGAGCAGTATCTTTATTAAAAAATATATTTTATACCTTACAAAATTTACCCAACTTTCATTCAGAGACTATTAAAGAAGAAAGTAGCATTAACGGGAGAGGAAATCACACTGGGGCAGGTTTAACAATACGTACAGTTTGGATCGAATGCTTATAAACCACTCCAGTAACTGAATATAAATTTCAGAAGTTTAAAAAGACAAGAGCAAACAATGGTATCTATAAATTATATGGAGACGAGTCAAGATTTTCTCCACTCATTCAACCATCACTAATTGAGGACAGACTATATATTACGGGCTGTGTTAGACATTGAAGCTATAACAAAATAAGGCCCAGGTATTGCTCCTTAAGAATAGCATTCTATTTGGGAAAAAAGACTTGAAAGCAAATAATTAACAGCAATTTCCCATTTTGCAATATGTTTGTGTTGGTTTTTCTTGAATCTTTTACATTGAAAACACATTCATCTATTCCTTAAGTCGTAAAAAAATTAAAAATCCAACAAACTCTTAAAGGATGACGTAGGCTTTAACAGATGTGTGTGAAGGATGGAAAGAAAAGTATTAAGTTAGCAGTAGAGAAACAGCAATTAATTCAGGGGTGGGTGGGAGGAGCAGTCCCAGAAAAGCTTCAAAGAATAAATGATATTTAGGTTGGTTCTTGAAAGATAGGAGAAGAAAATTTTGCTAAGTATAGTATGCTAAGCTTCAAGGCCAGGGTCAAAGAAGACAAATAATTGGTTCCTAAAGGTTATAAGATTCAGTAAGTTACACTGTTATGGATATAAAAATTTAACTCACTGCCACTTCACCATCCCGCCGAGGCAAGATAAGGCACATCCATCTACTAGAATTGATTAGTTGCTTCCCTACCTGTGCCCAGCCTGCCGCCTTTGGCTTATCTGGCTTACATTTGTTCCTGAATTTGGTATCTCAAGGTGAAGAATCTTCATAAAGACAAATCCATGTTAAGAGCGTAGTTTGGGATAGATATGTATTTAGTTGAGGATTAAATAACGTGGTACAAAATCATGCTTAAAGACTGAAATGTTTCAAGTTAAAAAAGTGTTAACAAAAGTACCACTGAACTATCTTCTAAGGGAACTGTCTCAGTAGCAAGAAGACAGGAGAAAACTCTTCAGAAAATGCTAACTCTGAGGGCTCTTTACTAATTTTGCTGTCATTTTGACACTGTCTGTTAAATCACGCCATTTAGCAATGACTTAGCCCCCCAACCCCATAAATCAAATTATGAACAAGGAGAAGCTCAAAGTAAGTAATTCCAGCATAGCCATGATCAGTCCCCTGTAATGGAACTATCCAAGTGATGAAGCCCTGGAAGAATCTTGGGGTGGGACATTTTGTGGTCTGGTTTAGAATCGTACAATAGGTCTCAAACTGGAGCATGCCTCAGCATAACCTGGAGGGCTTATTAAAATATAGATTGCTGGGCTCAACCTCCAGAGCTTCTGACTCAGTAGGTCTGGGGTAGGAGTTTGAGAGTTTGCATTTCTAACAAGGTCCCAGTGGACACCGGTATTGCCGGCCCAGAGACCATATTTTGCAAGCTGTCAGAATAATAATTTCCATATATAAAATGCAACTGTTACTAATTTAAATATGAATTAAACAGCATTATTAGTGAAATTACTCTGAACTCACTTGGAATCCATTTTGGTCACCTTCTTGGTGAAAAATTCATCTACACCTTCATCTACTCTCCCCATGTGACCATTCTGTTCACCATCTTGGGAGACTATGTTGGCAGCACAGACCTGCAAAACAAACAGCTGTGATGTTAATTCACATGCACCTTGATTTAGCAATCATTTATTACTAGATTTAAGACACTGTGATTAAGGGCTATGGGAGGGACAAGGCTCACTAAAATAGGGACCACATAATCTACAGGAATAGAAGCCATATGTACAATCATAACATAGACAGGAAGAAACAAAAGTGAGGGATGCACTATAAACACCATGCCTTGTGGAGGATTCATGCTGACTGGTGCATCAGAAGCTGGGACCTAACAGATATGACGAGTTGAGTGTTTCTAAAGGCAGTGAAAGGCACTGCAGGCATGTGTAAGGGGAAAGGGAATGCATGGAGAAATGAAATATGCACTGACTTCTGAGAGTGGTGATAACTCCTGAAGTGTGTGGGTGGGGCTGGCTGCTAAGGATGGAGCATGGCAGATGCTAATACTGGCTTCCCCTAACCCTTTCCCCTGCCTACTTCTTTCTTGCTGGAAGAGTCCTAGGGTCAGATTATGGATACTGATTTGCTTAAGCTACAGTCCCCTTCCTCTTGTCTGTGATTAATAGGCATGTGAGTGGGATATAATTGTGGTGTGTGAGATACAAGGGGAAATTTGCTAGGGAGCTCACGCGGGCAGGTTTTGTCAGGAGGACAGAATGTGTGTTTCCGCAGTTATGTGAGGGAGATGTGATGTCTGAGCTGCGGAAGGCCACTGGCATTCACCAAATGGGGAGGCCCAAGGATAAAAGGCCGCATGCTGGTTGACAATAACAAAGCAGAAAGGGGAAAGCACCTGGGTACCTATGCTCTGCTGCTGAATAAGCCAGGCCTGGATCCTGAGGCCTCTGGATTTTTTGTTAGGTGAGAAAATAAATATTTCTCGTTGTTTAAGTCACTTTTGAGTGAGTATTGAGTATTCCATAATATCCAGTTGAATACTTTCCAACTAATAATACAAAAACCCAAAAGGAGCCTTATGCTAAAGAAGAAGGAATTTACTCCTTAGATGATAGGGAGACACCAACGCAGCAGCATGGACCAACCTGAATTCTGGGGAGGTAATTCTGGGGCAGCATGAAGGACCAATTGGAGATGCCAGAGAATATAAGCAGGAAAACCTGTTCAGGAGCTGAAATCAAAGACTCTTGTAGTAATTTAATCTAATCTGGAGGTGATGAGGCACACTAATGAAGTGGAAAAGTGAGAACGGAAAGATAAGAGCTGCCCAAGATACGGTCAAAGTTTCTAGGCCAGGTAAATGGGGTCATGGTTCCAGGGAACACGTTACAAAGATCATATTTGGGGAAAAAGCTGTGTCTTATCTTCTTGAGTGTTTGAGGTATTGTGGGATATCCAGAAGCAGGTGTCCCGCAGGCAGCCAAAAACTCTGATCTTATGAGAGAGGCTGGTGGTGAGAAGCTATCATAAAGCTATACCAAGTAGCATGTCTTTGAAAGGACAACTCAGAGTGAGCTTAGTCAGATGCTTGATTTGTGTCTGCAATGTATATTAATATTTCACAGATAGGTTGTGGATGACTGAGAAAGAGCATGCATCTTGCCCATGCTGTTGGATACAAGGACAAATTTTCATGTGGTTGGGATACCTGGTCTAGATGTCTTGCCATAGAGTGGTGGGAAAGCTGTTTCCTGTAATCTTGATTTGCAAGTCTCAAGGTGCCTAGGGAGAACATGGCTTATGTCTGTATGGAAATTGCTTAAAGAAAAAAACCCTTGAACAATCATCCACTTCGTTCATCAGGAAGCTCTCATTATGAAAATGAACTGTGTGTTTGAGTTCATGTTTGTGACATGCTGAAAAGTGAAGAGACAACAGATAATAGACAAAGAACCCTATGAAATAACAATTATACCTCTCATCTGAATGGTGCTTTATATTGGAGCAAGGATTTCCTTCGTGTTGCAAAAGAGCAGAAAATTCGCAAAGTTCTATAATTCCGTTATGCAGAGAAACAAAGCTCAATGAATAACTTTTATTTTGATTACAAAAGATAAAGTAGTACAGAACTTGCTTGTATTATATTATTTTTCCCTTTTGGAAAAGAATGGAGCATAGAATCTCTATCGCAGTAACAGCTCCTTAAGTTAATATAGTACTTGATAGTTTACAAGTGTTTTACACATTATTATGTCACCCCTACGTCTACCCTTAAACTGAAAGAGATAGTACTCTCCTACTTTTTGGTTAGTCACAGATCAAACAGTGACTCAGAAGGTTACCACCTGGTCACCTAATTAATGGATGAAGAAAGATGTGACCCCAGGACATACAGTCCTTAACACACGGCTTCCTCCCAGCTTCCCCCAATGGCTCCTCTTTCCATTTTGAAAAAAAAAAAAAAAAAAAAAGGTAAGTTTTACTTGCATAATTTCTCCCCTCAGGAAAAATTTTTCTTTTCCCGCTTGGAAACAGAAGTCACAGCCAGCACAAAAGGTTCTCTGGGGATGTGGGGTACATCAATGGGTTTCAGTGATGGAGGCACAGAGCTGAACAAAGCAGTCTGCTTTCCTGCAGGACAGACCAGCTTTTAGGGCTGGACTGGCCCCTACAGATCCTCCAGTCCAACTCTGTCATTTTAGAGATAAAGGGACAGAGAGCAGACAGGTTAAGAGAAGTCCAGTATCACTGGGAGATCTTCCATGAGACATGGTTTAAAATGCATCTGTTAAAATAGGAAGCAGGAGGTGGCATCAGCCTACATGAAGAGCAGTAGAAAAACTGAAGACTGAATTGAAATGTAGTTTGCAAAAGAGTTCAAGGTCAAATGCACATGCTGTTTCAGCTCCTTTTCTAACAAAAGCAAAGGAAAAGACAAACAGTTATCAGAAGTTCTCAAAATCCTATTTGCTTTCAGTCTTCTCTGTCAAGGAAAATACATTTCAGACTGAAAAGGGTAGCACAGCTGTTGGAAAGGGAGTGAGCAGAAACCTCAGCAGTGAGCCTGGGGCCAGAACCCACTGCATTTGCACTCAGAGAAAGGTTTTTACAAATAAAATCAGGAATTGCTGTTGTTGATATTTGATAAAGAAGATTTAAAAAAAAAAAAAAAAAGAAGGTAGATTTTGCACCTCCAGTGTGCAAGTGCTAAAAGGATAATTCGTGAATGGTGAGAAAATAAGGTGGTGATTGTGAGGACTAAAGACAATTCAGACCACCCTCTGTTTTCCCTCTGCCAGGGTTATTACAGTGAATACACCAGGGAAAGACAGTAGGCGGTGCGCCTGGATTTTGATGTGGCAGTTGCCAAATCTCTCACAATGTCTTCATAGGCTGGATGGAGAGGAATGGACAGGAAGTAAGGACAATTAGGTGTATTAGTAACTCTTCGCACAAATATACCAAGGAGTGCTAATTAGTGAACTGAATAATCATGGAATGTTATGTGCATATATTAGAATGTAAAAAACATGGAAAATTAATTAGCTAAGCAGTCAAAAAATAAGGAACCCAAAGGAAGTAAAATGAAGAGCATATAATAAAAGAAAAAAAATAATGAACTTGAGAGGATTGATAAAACAGTTGACTCTTAGAAAAAGACTAATAAAAGAGATAACGACAACATTAAGAGAAAAGGCATTAAAAATAAGTTAAAATGAAATGGGACATATCTATATAAGAGATTAAAGCTATTGGTATAATAAATTAAAAACTTAAAGGAATTCTATAAACAATTAAATGAACAATTAGACTAAATGGAAGATATCCTAAAAATACATAAATTATCAAAATGATCTTAAGAAAAATTAGGTAACCTGAACAGATCTATGACAAAAGAAATAAAATCCTTAGTAATACATCTACATACAAGCATCACATGCACACAAGCATATAGACAACACTTAGGGCCCAGATGGCATCCCAGGAGAGGAAGAGACAATCTCTATTACTTGTAAACCGTTACAGAGAATAGGTGAAAAGAAAGAGCTTCCCAACCAATTTTATGAAGATAGTATAACTTTGAAAGTCAAACTAGATGGATGGTTTAGACAAGAAAAATAAACATGTTAAGTCTCTCTCATTTATGCATATAGATGCAAAAATTCTCATAAAATATTAGCAAACAAAGTCTAGCAGTGGATTAAAACAAAGCAAAAAATCATGATTAAGAATGTTATAACACTAGAAAAAGTATGTTAATGAGATTCACCCAAATTTCACATTAAAAAAGAAAAATTATCAGTGTCAACAAATACTGAAAAAAAGAATCAAACTACCATTCATTCCAAAACAAAATCAGCAAAACAGAAGAAAACGTTCTCACCTGAATAAATTACAGCAGAAACTGCTTTGTGTCTATTTAGTGTCTATTCGCTCTTGTTGACTCAATAACAAAACCCTGATTTATTTGGAATATCAATGTGACCAACTGGCTATTTATCTTCCTAGATTTTTTTGTAGCTGGGGATGGAAATATGGTTCATTTCTGGCCAGTAAGATGCAACTGGAAGTATACTAGGACTTCTGGGTAGTTCAGATTCTCTGCTGCATGCACCCCCTTTTCCTCTGTCTGAAATATATGTATAAAAATAGATTATAGGCCTTGCCTGAGAATAAGATCAATACCAGTCACCTGGATGATACAGCCATTTTAAAGGTGAATGCAACCTGTGGTTGAATAAATAGAAGTGTCCTATTTAAAAGGAGAGAATCAATGGGATGGGTGTGGTGACTCACACATGTAATTCCAGTACTTTGGGAGGCTGAGGCATGTGGATCGTGTGAGCTCAGGAGTTTGAGACCAGCCTGGGCAACATGGTGAAACCCTGTCTCTACAAAAAATACAAAAATTAGCAGTGTGTGGTGGTGCGCACTTGTAATCCCAGTTATGTGGGAGACTGAGGTGGGAGGATCACTGGGGCCTGAGAGGGGGAGGTGGCAGTGAACCGAGATCGCACCACTGCTCTCCAGCCTGGGTGACAGAGTGAGACCCTGTCTTAAAAATAAATAAATAAAAGGAGAGAAGAGATATGGCAGATCTTATTAAAGTACTCTATTTTGTCTTGGGTGC